CCGTGGGGGTTTGGGAAGCTGACTTCCCTGGGATCTTTGCAAATAACCGCCCATCAGCTGTGCTTCGGGCTGCTCTCTCTCCCCTCCCAGAAAGGCCAGATCGGCTCCTGCCTTCTCCTCCACCGGGCACCTCCTCTGCTGCTACAAGCACAGTCGGGGCAGCCCTTTGGGAGAAGCCGGGTGGTGGGGGAGAAGGCAGGAGCCGATGCCGTCTTCCCCCCTCCCCCGAGGCTTCTCCCAAAGGGCTGAGCCCGATAGTGGGGGAGAAAACCGGATAATCCGTTCCTATTATCCGGTTTTCAATGCATCTCTATGGGAAAACGCGTTTCACTGAACGATGTTTTCCCATACCGATGTGTGTTTTTTTGGAACCAATTAACCTCACTATGCGAGGCACCACTGTATATGGAAAAGTTTGCAGAATACATTGGTTGGGAATGAGAGTGTGCAGTATAGATCATAGAAATTGGAGATGGATAGCTGAAGATCTCAAGCTGGTCCTTCACAAAATGATGATGCTTTGCTGGTAAAGATCCAAAGGGAGGCCGCTCTGTGTACAGTCTTGCCTGTACACTCAAAATAATCTAAACTGTTTGAAGCAATCAGAAGTCTAATACAAGGAACTTTGGTGTCAGGAAAAAAAAATCTGTATCCAGTAACTCAACCTATTTCTGAGTGAATACAATTGAGACAAAAGTATAAAGAATGTGACCTGATTTTTAAAGGTATTTGGACATTTGTGTTTACATAATTTCAGACCTCCAAATTAAACATCAAACAGCTATGATATATTTAAATACACAAACGTCAAGTGCACATCTCTTTATAAAATTTATTTAATAATTTATGTTGACGTCAGTATTTATTTTGACTTCCTACCTAATCCTATCATATCAAGCCACTAAGTGGTTTTAAAAGTATTCCAAGATAGCAGTGGAACAGCTACAGAAGAACACATAAGTGTAATCCACAGAGACCACAAAGAAGACATTAGAAAAGCCTATTTTTTTATGTAGATACTTACCATATACCAACTTGGAGTTCTGCTGCTTTAACTCTTGAACAATATCAACTACCATTGCAAGGAATGATTTGTCCCTTGTGTAACCTTTGAAGGGATGAGAGAGGGAAATTAAGATTATCTGTGAGCAGGGAGTATTTCCCCACAAACTCTGCAAGCACCGTGAACTCTTTTTTGAAAAAGATTTTAAGCCAAAATACAACTCTGTGCAAGCAAACAAGTCAACTCAAAGCACCTGCTGTTATCACAGTGTTTCATCGTGCAATCTTTCAACTCATATTAAACAAGTTTGCATGGTATCCCAAACTACTATCCATACCTGTGCTAAATGAGCATTGTGAGCCACAATCTTCCAGAGCTGTACTGGGGGGAGGGGAGTGGTTACCTTCAATGCTAGTAATTATTTGGAAACTGACCTTATGGTTCTGTGCCTTACAAATGATGTGATGTTATTTTTCAACAGTCTAGAAGAACAGGCCAAATTCTCATATTAAGTGCTAAGGTGCTTTTCTATCCACCACTCCTTTCTCTAGTGGATAAGACAGCTTAATCTTCTACCCCAAGTTAGTTGCATGATTTGCCTTTAGCTAGTCCCTATGTGCAAACCAACCATAGTTTTCTGACTTCTTTCCATGTGTGCATCAGCCTTCACAAATGAAGCACAACAGACAGCACTTAAACCATTCTCTTTCTTAGTTTGCTTTGTCCCAGTGTAGAAGACACAGGATAGAAATTGTGCTATAAAAGGAACTACTTCTTCACACACCACACAGTTGAACTAGAATTTGCTACTGTAAGATGTATTAAGAGTCACCAACTTAAATCAGATCAACGTCTAATAATACTAACAATGATCATATGCCAATTCTAGTACTCAACTCTACTGGTAGCTTTTGTAGACTAGCTAACAGGGAACATGACCAAGGAATTGGCAATGCACTCCTGTATTACTTATGGACCTTCTCACAGGTGTCTAGTTGTCCACTGTTTGAACAAAATGGTAGATTAAACAAGATTGTGCTCTGATCTAGCATGACTTCTTTGCCCTGTACTGAACATTGTATACATTTTTTCCAGTTATTCATTGCTTAAGAGGGATAGCTCCTGTGAATAATTTACATGTCTAGTCATCATTCTTTAGAGTCCAGAATTGTGGCATAATATTTCCCAAGTAGTCTTCAGGGCAAACTAAAGATTACTGTTTGTTTTAGTTTATAGTTCTACCTATTACAAATACTTATTAGAATAAATCCACACAGCAGTATAAAGATATTAGCATTCCACCCCCCCTTGTACCTCTTAGGACAACTACCTAAGCTATGCCTTCTTTAATTTCACATTAATTCATTTGTATGGATACATTCACAAATATTCTAGGAACTAAGATATTTTATAGTCTTCCTGCTAAATTTATCATAATCTGACTGAGCCCACATTTCAAGAGAAAGTTTCGAGGTGGCAGTGATGGTTGGCACTATGACCCAGTAACCATAAGTAAGTGAATGAATTAATGTAGCATTAGTTTGGAGTTACAGGATAGTTCTGAACAGATACATCGCTCTGAGAAGACACAAATGCCTGTGGCTGGGGTGGGAGTTGAATAGCTGAATTGGCTCCAGTCACTTATATGGCCTGAAAGGTTTCTGCAGGGGTCAGTGCAGTTCCCCATATCGAAAGGTTGCCCAGTTGTATTTATACACTTTCTACACCATGCAATGTGTAGCCTGTATAATTAAAATTGTAAACCGCCCGGAGAGTTCACCTGTGAAGCCTTGGAAAGAAGAATGTATGTTCCTTATTAGAATCATGATGTGGGTAGAAGAATCTTAGGAGGGAGGTTCTCAAGTTCACACATACCCATGAAACACCAGCTTAGTATTAACCTAGATTGAACTTTCTGCAGTCTGGCTCTCCTAAGTCAATTCACCACCCAGCCTCTAGTCTGTAGCCAGGTTGTTCCTTGTAGTCAAAAATTTTTTAGGATAGAGGTCAGGAAACAGGAGTAAAATATCAAAAAGTAGGCATAGAAATTTCAAAATCATGTTTTTGAAATTTTTATTCCTACTTTTTGATATTTTACTCCTGTTTCCAGACCTCTATCCTAAAATAAAAATTTTAAAAATTGGGAAGCAGTGAAGAAATGTAAAAATCAGAAAGATCTCAAAATATTTCACTTAAGAAATTTGCCATGCTTGCATATAGGTACAGTTTCACACATAAAAGAAGGCATGGTGTTAACATCTGTTCTGTAATAGAAAAAAACTTGAGTAATACTTTACTAGACCACTAAAAAGTCACAAACAAGATTTTTGCCTATGTACCTCATAAAGAAATTTTCATCAGGCAAAAAGAGTTTGGGGCTAAGGAAGTTGAACTCAAAATTAGGCCAGATATAGTACTCCCTATTTTCGAAACCAGATTAAGCAAAGCAAGACTTAGCAGTTTGCAGCAGGAGACAAATGTGTCAAGGTATCTGTTCAAAACCTCTTCTCTGCAGACATACTAAGTGGGATCACTGTAGATCTGTCCATTGCTTTGGGTGAGACACACAGACTCCTTTGCACCCCACAAGATTTTCAAGAGTGTGTTCCACAGTTTTTATCACCTTGTTCAACTCCACTGAGAGACCCACTGTCACAGGGGTAAGTGGGAGAGGAGCAAGGGAGAGGAAGACCAGGCAGCAAGCTTGCCACCCCTTCAGACAGTTGCATTATGCCTTCATTAATATTCTTTGTTATAAAAAAAATCTCTCGTATGTATTCAGAAGATGGCAAGTTTATTAATACCTAACAATAATAATAATGATAAACTGGAAAATTGAGCTGAAAATTGACTTCAGGATCTAAGAAAATATTAATCTACTGTCCTGCTGATCTATTACTTGTGATAGTCCTGGCAGGATTGACAAAAATGTAAAAGGTGCTGTGATGTCAGGAGTTTCTAACAGAGCTGCCATACATTTTGTCTTTAATTTGTTCATGGAATGAGCAGCAGCCCACGTAAAGGGTGTGTTGTTAAAGTTATCAGCAGACAGCAAGAGGCAGTCTCAAAATCAAGGGGAAGGTAAGGAAGTCTCATGCAAGCCAACAGTGCACTAGGCAGCCTTACTGATGCTGTCAGTGTCCTGCTGTTAGCGCTCCAGGCAAAGTGCTTCTGCCCTGTCAGCACCATGCTTACCAAGCCTAGCCCTCTTTTCTCTTCAGGGCTGCATCTTGATGGTCATCCATCGAAACATGGGATCCTCCTCTGCCAGTCACTCTTATCTGAGTACCACCTCTTCATCTCAACTGAACTAAAGAATTAAATATTTCATTGGGTTGGTACCTGACCCTCCTTTGAAGTAATGGAACTGGGGAAAAATTCAGGTCATAGACAACTTTGTACTATGCAGGCAATAAAACAATTGGCTATTTGCATCACAAAGGACCCTTCTCTAACATTCACATCTAGCACCAGGAAGAATGGAGGCACTGGGATCATGCATGGAGTGATCATTAACTCTGTCCCAGTTTCTCTGGATAGAAAGTAATGGTAACCTGGCACAGTAATGTACAGCTGTACAGTACTTGGAATCACTATCTATTCTCATTTGAGGATCAGATATTACTCTAAGCTGTGAGAGCAAAGAACATGATCCTGAGAGTATCTCCTCTGATAGGAAATTGAAATTAGCAGTCCTGTAAGAGCTTTAAAAAGAACATAATTTTACTGTATCAATATATTTAATTTGGTAAGCATAGTTTGAGAATTTCTGACAAATGGTGCTTTATACCTATATGTATCTGCTGATTATCAATGCTATTTTGCAGTCTCAAATTAAAAGCTCCCAGATGTCTGTACCACAATCTAAACAGCATTCATCAAGGCATTGCTGTGTAATTGCCCAACACAGAGAATATAATGGTCAATGCTCATCTGACGTCTGCTTACTTCTGTGGCACATTTTTTTTTAAAAAAAAGCTATATGCTCAAATATATGCTGATCTGAACACAAGACAAGCACAGAGCAGTATTTTAATATTAGCCAATAATATAGACTTTTCAAAGCATTATTGAGCCTAAGAGAGAAGAAGGATAAAAACTGGGGAAAAATTGATTACAGTAAAGAATAACACACGTATTAAGCTTTTAGCTCAGGTGTTGGACTGGTCCTCCAGATGCTGCTGGACTCCAAACAGTAACAGCTCCAACCAGCACAGTCAATAGTTCAAAAACATCTGGAGGACTGCAGGTTCCTTGTCCCTGCTGTGCCTAGCTAATGAAGATAAGCGAAAAGAAATAACTGCTGCCATTCAGGCTTCAGTAAAGCTATTTTATCATTTTGTAAACCCACGCTTTCCTCAGGGAAAAATTTAGAAATGTTTTCAAAACAAATGCAACCTATTTTTGGTGAAAATTCATTGCAACACCACCACAATCTCATTCACATTATTATGAAAATATCTCCTTTACCTCCAAGAACTCCATGGAAATCAGATGGGAAAAAATAATTTGTTGGATGTGCAATACCCTTCATGGCAGAGTAGACTTTATGCGTTATAATTCTGGACACGTATAACCAAACCTTCCTGTTATCGCTGGCTCTGAAAACACTTTTCTGGCATAACTTGTATACATCAATATGGCAATCAATTTTGAGTATTAAAAACAGTTTATTTCACTGCAGTAAGCAATTTAAAAGATGAAATTTAAAATAGGTGCACTATGCAATGAGATGAAAGTACTGTATGTTAATAATCTGCAAAAATGAATGAGAGGAGAGGATATGCATCTGCCAGACACAGGGATTTGTATCATAAACTTCCTGCTGAAGTTTCCTTTTAAAACGGAGAATAAAAAGATATGCAACATTGGTTTTCTTTCTAACCATCATTAAGTATTTGGGAAAATGTCAATCAAGACCACACCATCCTTCTCCAATACCAATTCCTTCTTCCTAGCTTAGCCAGAGATTCTCAGTGTAGTGTAGTGGATAGTGATGGACTAAGGCCCTGGAGAAGAGGGTTCAAATCCCCAATCAGTCATGGACACTGACTTGGGAGGGGGGAGTGGAACTGGTAAAACCACTTATATTTAATCTTGCTTACCTTGAAAACCCTGTTAGGGTTGCTGCAACTCAGTTTCTTGACAGCACATAACTTGACAACACATAACAACAACAACCCTAGCCACAGTAAAAATTGAAAATATGAAATAAAGCTGGAGCAACTTTATACCATCATAAATATTGGGAGTTCTTTCAGAATCACAGTCAGATTTTTGCAAAAACAAAGAAAGACTTACCCGTAAGTACATAATCATAGTGGTTCACATTATTCAGTTTCAGTCCTTCATACAGTTCATGAAGTTCATCTGAATTTAACACCTGTCCCTTCCAGTAATCATAACCTGAACAAAACCCAGAAATGATATAATATAGCTTTATCTGATAATTGTCCACAGGCTTCACTTAAAGAGAGCATTACAGTACGGATGAAGGAGCATCATATTAACAGGCAAAATAGGTGGACATTACAACCATGCTACTGAAACACAAGTATGTTAGAGACAGTTGTACAAATGTCCAAGAGCTATAATGAAGAAAATGTTTAAGTAATAGAATTAGAAGTATGATACCTAAAAGTAGCATAATTACCAATATAACCAAAGAATCAGGAATATCTCCCTTTGAAAAGCCAATTTCCTAGCATGAGCTGGAATTATGACTAAGTCAGCTGGGAAACCCTTTTTTCCCCATTTGCTAGGTGACCTTAAGCAAATCACCCTCTCCTAGACCCCACCATTTATACTATAGACTAATTCAGACCAATTCTATTAGTGAAATTTATATAAGAGTTGGTTCACCATGTAGCAACTCATTTAACAGGTTGACTCCAGTTGAAACTAGCAAATAATATTTTTTATAACATTACCCTCTCAATTACTGCTCAATATTATTGCCGTCTGACAACATGTCATGAAGATTGACCCTGAACAGCCATCACAGAAGAATGGTTCTTCAAGACTTATGATGAATAAACTCTACTAGCACAGAAGGATAATTATCCTTTTTACCTCTGGCAAGAAAATTAACCTATTTCTAGTTCCTTCCTGTAAAGGTACTTTCATTTTGCTTTCCAATGGAACAAAAGTTCAAAGATGCACAGAACCAGTGCCAAGAACACTTATGAATAAGACGTGGGAGAGGGAAAATAAGGAACAAGTAACAGCCAAAGAGCATTTAAGGATATCATTTCACACTGTGAACGACAGGAGGTATTGGACAAACAGTAACTGGGTCAACATGCTAATCTTTTATTTTTGCAAAAGAGATTCAGATCTCCACTCCTGCACCTTGGAAACAAGGGTTTAGCATTTGCATTTCATATTTTCTTTAATTCAATGTGGTTAGAGAATTCTGCTTAATTAGCAGGCTTGCTCAATTGAAAACCAACTCTGAAACCACAGATGCTGCTGTTTTACACATCCCTTTTAACTCCCTGGACTCTATAGTTTAATTACACAATACTAGCTACCACTCATGCATATTCAAAATTCATACTTTCAATTAAACAGGATACACTATAAGCACACGTTTGTGTAACTTTAACCATCAGGTACAGAAGAAATTTGGAGCCCTTAAGATACCTCGATAAATGCATAAACCAAGATACCCGGATTAGTAAAGTCTAAAGAGGACTTGCAATCATTGAAGAATGTTTGCAGTAGCCCTAGATTAACCGTACTTGATTCAAAGTCTGGAAATGAATCACACATGTCAAAAGGAACTATTTTCTTAAAATTTTAGAAGAAAAAGTATGTTAGTACAGTATCAACCACCAATGTGGGGACACCTGGCTTTCCTTTCTCCAACATATTCACAGTAACTCAATAGTTAAACTGGTTGTTTTCTCCTAAGTTTGTTTCTAAAGTTTTAAGTGTTTTTTAATTAATTAATGGATTTTTAATTAGTGCACATCTAATTGCTACAACCAGTGCAGTGTAATGGATATAGAGTGATGGACTAGGATTCTGGAGACCAAAGTTCAAATCCCCACTTGGCCATAGAAACTCACTCAGGGAGTGGAACTAGTAAAATTGCTGCTTAAATATCTCACTAATCTTGAAAGTCCCTTTAGAGTCACTATAAATTGGCTCTGACTTGATGGCACAAAACTAATAGTTGGTTTTTAATCCGTAATTTATTGTGCTTTTAGTATTAGTTGTTTCAACCTTATGAGTTGTCTTGGCTCCCCTCATTGGAAGAAAGGCAGCCTACAAATGATACAAAATAATAATTAAGTACTGTAAATAATTTTACTGTACGTGTGTGGGTAGTCAATTCCTAGATTTACTATTTAACTTCATATTGCACCAACTATATGCAAGCTGACTTAGAGATAATAAGTGTGATATTTGTTACATACCAAACACCGATCTCAGTTGATTTCAGAAACTAAACAGGGTTAGACCAGAACATTGGAAAGCTGCCTGAAACCATGGAGAGCTGGTGCTCGTCAATGTTAACAATACCAGAACAGATGGATCAAAGGTCTGCCTAGGTTTAAAGCAACTTTCTAAGTCCGAAAGAGCTTATAATTTACCAGGGATACAAGGAAAAAACAGAGGAGGCAGAAGGAATGCCAACTAGGTATTTCAGGGGTGAATTCATGGTTGTTTGAATTACACATATTTTGGCTAAGTTATAATACAGTCGTGCCCTGATGGATGATTACCCCTATAACGACGAATCCGCTTAACGCTGAAGTTTCGATTACCCCTATAACGACGAATCCACTTAACGCTGGTTTTTGCGACCGCTAAATGATGGTTTAAATGGGTTTTTTTTGTTTCACGATGATCGGTTCCCTGCTTTGGGAACTGATTTTCGCTTTACGACGATCAGCAAACAGCTGATCGTCGGGTTTCAAAATGGCCACCGGCTGAAGAAAATGGCCTCCCGCTGTTTTTAGGACTGATTTTTCACTTAAAGGCACCAAAAAATGGCCGCTGTAAGGAGGATCTTCGCTGGACGAGCAGGTATTCAGCCCACTGGAACGCATTGAATGGTTTTCAATGCGTTTCAATGGTTTTTTTATTTCGTTTGACGATGCTTTCGCTCTACAGCACTTTCGCTGGAATGAATTAACATCGTCAAGCGAGGCACCACTGTAATTAAAAACTCACTAAGTCGAATTATTGTAAAATTAACCACAATAGGTATGTTTTTGAGAAGAGGCTTTAAAAATTATGTGAAGAAGTTGCATGGAGGTATTCCAGAAGGTATTTCTAGGCATAAGGGGCATAAAGGAGAATGGACGTATGTTAGGGAATAGGAGACATCTAATTGTTGAGGAAGGTGAAGCTGAATAAACAAAGATTACAAGATGAAATGTAGCAGGTTATAAGCACAGAAAAGTAAGGAGCAGTGAAGCTGTAGAGGTTTTCAAGGTGAGATCAAGAAGCCTGAGCAGAATCCAGAAGCAGACAGGAAACCAATAAAGAGCTACAAGGGAGGTGACTAATTCTGGCAGCACAGGGAGATAATGGAAGACCATAGAGAAGCAATAGGCAAAGTGACAAAGAAGAGATTCCTGACTAAAGGACAGAAAGGATAGGCCATATTCTGTAATGTGATTAAGGGGAAATTATATTATTTGGCAACTAACGGACAAAAGAAAGGTTTTTGTCAGCCTGTATGAAAGCTGATGATGGGAATCATCGATAAAATGAAAAGAAAGCTTCACTGGAGAACTGAACTACATACGTATTTGGGAAGGAAAGGGATGTGGTCTGTTACAATAGGCTACATGACCAACAGAGAGAAGAAAAGGTATATAGGAGGAATAGAAATCAAGCTTGCATGTATGAGTTTACAAGTAAGGATGAAACAAAGCACAGTATTCAAAGAGGAAACACAAGAAGGAATTATTAATCTCAATTTGTTTTATCTCCCATATGCACAAACACTGGTGCAAATATAGTTGCCCTTTTTTTTTAAACTTCTAGCTGCCCTCTACAACATGGATTGCAACTTGGGTCCAGGCCATGTGAAGGCCTGTTTCTCCACATATAAAGCTTCCCAGCTTTTAAGATCTTCAGCAGAGGCTTTTATCTCAATTCTCTTACTCTCACAAGCATATGTGGTGAAAATACAAGAAACAGTTTTGTCATGGCTGCTCCCACATTTTGGAAGCCAGTTTGGTACCCTTTCTGCTTTCTTTCCACTGGCCAACAAAGAACTTTTTCAGGCTTTTAACAACTGAATTGAACAATCCAATTTTTCTACAGAATGCTATACATTTTTTACTGTGTTCATGTTTGTCTCTGTAAAGTATTTTTAAATTAGCAATCTTTTAGGACCAATTTTTTTTAACATTACAACAAACTGTGATTTTGCATGTGTTTTCAGTTGCACCTGTTTTCAGTTCTGTCTGACATCTTGGGTCTCTACACCAGGAGAAAGTCAGAACATTACCTCATTGATTAGCTGTTTAGAACAGTCAATTCTTACAAGTGTCACATCCTCCATAAAATATAAAAATAGGAAGTATGGGTGGAAGGGTAATTTCAGCACCAAGTGCCAATAAATTTCTGTTAGTATTTTAAAAAAGAAAATATTTAAATTGTATTTTAGATGTGAATTTCAAACACACTTTAAACAAAACCCCTTCTACACATGAATTTCATACAATTAAACTGTCAGCGCTGTTCAAATCTGAGCCAAAATGCACATGAATGCAGGTATCCTGAAATATCCCGAAAACAGTTTCCTAGGTCAGTAAAGGAAGCAAAGAAGATAGCAATGACAAATGAGCAAAGACAGAAACAAGAAGATGCTTGGATACAGAAGCACATGATAGAAGAAAGGCAAATGCTCTGAACCAGCTGCAGCCTCCATTGCAGCTACTTCTAATTCATTAAAATGCCACAGGAGAAATGTCTGGCTGCAGAATATACCTGTAATCACTACTTTCAAAAATTTAAAAACAACAAATTTAACTTTATTATTATTTATTTTAATTTTTTAATTTAATTTCTATACCGCCGTTCTGTCAACCCAGGCCACTCTGGGCGGTTTACACAGTACATGTATAATAAAACAGAATATCAAAACAAAACAAAACAATAACTTCAAGCTTCTCTTTGGATCCTGGTCCAATGAAATCTGAGAATGTGATATTGACCGCTGTCTCTCATCTTAGAACACACAACAGTTTAGATCTGGAACACTTTTAAGTACAAGAGGCAAAGGGATAGGCCAAGTATACACCATACATTTTAATAAGAAATCTACTAGTCTCCAGAGCAAGCGAGGAGCCTATGAGGCTTTATTTTCTCCACCAGATAGAGCCCCAGCAACATGTATATTTTTGCACATACAGAAGCATGACAAATTGAAACTGCTTTGCTTTCTCTTTCTTCCTTTCTTTTTTAAAGAAAGTACATCTACGTAGGCTGTGTGACAGCTCCTTTTCTTTGTGAGTGTGAAACGCAGTGTCGTTTGGAGGTGAGTCACTCACTCTAATCATACAGTAAATACCTTTTGCCAGGCAATTTATCAAATGCAGATCCGAGGAGGCTTCAGCTTGGAATGCTGCCTGTATATCACGAATACAGGGAGCACTTTCCTGAGCCTTACAAAGAGCATGTCAACAGTTTCTTTTTCATTAATTTAACAGGGTTTTTTTGAAAGTGCCAATCACAAGGTATTTTAAGAAACTTTTTTTTCTTGCAGTCAATATTAAGTTTAGAAGTAAAGGAAAGAAGTGAGTTGGAGTGAATCACATTCTTTAAATTTATCTTGCAATTTACATACAGACAACTGTTCTGAGCGACAGATGATAAATGTCAATCAGCCACTAGGTGGCATTGAGCAAGTCAACCTAGCCGACCTCTGAGCGCTCTTGTGTGAATAAATAGGATATCTTCCCACACTGAGAAAAAGGAGAAGCAGCTCTATTAAGAAGGCACTTTCATTAGAATCCTCTAAAACAGTGGTCCTCAACCTTGGCCCTCCAGATGTTCTTGGACTTCAACTCCGAGAAATCCTGACCAGCAGAGGTGGTGAAGGCTTCTGGAGTTGTAGTCCAAGAACATCTGGAGGCCCAAGTTTGGGGACCACTGCTCTAAGAGACCAGGATGCAGCAGAAGAAAAGCAGGACCATCATCCTCAGGTTCATTCCTTCTCCATCATATAGTAACAGCCATTATATCAGCAAATGGCATAAGACAGTGGAACAGAGGATGCAGGAAGAGACACATTGTTCATGTTGCCATCAAGTCCTTGGTCTTCTTGATTACAGAATTGATGAGAGGAGGCAGAACTAACAACTGACAATCACCAAGACTTCCCAAAGTAGCCTGGAGCTTCTGTTTTTGGGCTGCAGATATCTAGATTCAATCTGGATGGCTGCACAACTAGTATAGTGACTAGTCCATCACGGAATCCAAGAAAGGAGTTGTTATTGCTCAAACCTTCAATGCTAACACACTGGATTTCTCAAGTACTGCCATAGTAAAGGTCAGCAGAGGTCTAGCAGTTTTTCATTAACAAGACTTTCAAGACGTCTGCATTTTCATCTATTCTTCCATTTTATTAATGACCTTGATTGCAATACACGCATTACCCTAAATGCTTTGGAAGAAGAACAAGGTGCAAATGCGATAAGTATAAATGTAAATGAACAACTATCTGGATAAACTGACCATCATTATGGGGGAAGCTGATTTTTCCAAAACGTTCAACATCTATAAATCACGTTTTAACCTTTTAGCAAGGTTTATGGGACAGTGCAAAAAGGGATGGCATTCCAATACTGATTCTTCCACTGCTTGGAAGAAGAACACTAACTACTACCACACACACTGAAGCCACAGGAGGAGACTAAAACAAGGAACATTAGCCAAGTTGTTTTGATAATACAGATACAGCTTCCTACTCTATTCACTAGTGTATCTGTCTTCATTTTTCCTCAATGATGTTGTAATGGAGTTATCTTTTATTGGTTACATGGTGCCTTGATGTTATGACATTCAGTTCATGATCCCTGACTGGCAAATATCACTATTCTCAAGATTAGCACCTTTTTATTTCTGAATAAAGGACCTGGTAAATGAGGCACTGAACTGCAATGGAGAAAATTAAAGTAATCTGGAAGATACTTGTGAATATTACAGTATTCCTAGAGGGTCTTTTTTCACACCCCAGACTGGATCAGGTAGGCATCTGAGTTAGCTGTATTGTGACAACAAAATCCAAGGAACCATGAAAAGCAGAACAGTATTTTGAACAGGCAGTACAGATTCTCAGAACAACAACTATTTGACTCTGAAAGTATTATAATGTAGGATCAGTAAAATATTTTGATATACAAAATCAGACAAGAAGCAAAAAACAACAACAACAAAAAAACAAGTGCTGAAAATATTGTGGCACCTTAAAGACTGTGCTATATTTTAATGTGAGCTTTTGTAGATGAAGTTCACTACAGTAGTTAGTCTAAGATGCCACATTGGGTTTTTTTCTTTCTTTCTTTTGTATGCTTGTACAAGCTAACATGGCTACTACATTGAAAACTACAACTTCATACACAAACACAAAATTTGTCCTTTACATTTATGGATGTTTTATTACTGATATAGATTACCATGTTCAGAACAGCTGAATCTGTGTTCTTCTTTGAAATCACTCACTCTCTCTCTCTCTTTCTCTCTCTCTCTCTCTCTCTCTGTGTGTGTGTGTGTGTGCGTGTGCGTGCGTGCATGCGTGCGCGCAAGATCAGCTCTTTCTAAGTGAGGAGGAGTTATCGGAAGCAACAAGATCCCAGGACTGACGTCAGGGAGTCCAAGACTGGGTCAGAGAAGCAAGACTTACTACGTAGGTTATGTGTGAAAAGATAAGGAAGAAATTAAAAACAGACCTGGAATAGATAATTCTGTGAGTCAAGCTATGCTTTGCAATAATCATTAAGAAAGCAGCTCCTTATCTTGTTTTATTGAGTCTAAAGTAAAATGTCCAAGGCCCAAATCCAGATCAACTGGAAGTCCAAAAGTTACTTTATTGAAGTCACCTCTGTGCCTTCTAAATACAAACTTCAAAGTAACTGTGCAACCTAAGTAGTTTAGGAAGAAAACAGAAATATGTAAATAAACTATGACTCTTGTTCATTTATCACTCCGTCTGAATTGATTATATGACTGAGCCATTTCTATTTTGCAGCCCTCCTGGTTTATTCTCAATGACTCTGAAGCACATTCAGAGTATTCTGAAAGCAACAAATGACTCCATTAAGGTCAGCATAATTTATAATTAGAACACAGATCTCACTAGAGGGGAGAGACAGAGAGGATTGGAGAGACTGGGCTGATTTGATAGGCCAGGAATTTGGGAACTCTGGCTTCTCAGTTATCTGCAGTGTACTGTTTGCTACACATTACCTGATCTTTCCTGCTTACAGTGGGACTGGATAAACAAACTGAGTTTCATTCTGTAGCTGTTTATTGTGCAGGCAGAACAAGGGCACTTCTCTAGTTTGTTTTGTTTTGTTTGTTTCCCAACACACCAAGAAAAAATTAGGCATGTTTCCAAACAGCTAATGCACAAAAAGGGACAGGCTGTTTACTAGTGACTGTAGTTCTTTCAGTGGTTATTTGTGGATCCAATTATATGGGTTTTGTACCTATGCAGAAGCCAGCTTTGGAACCTTCCAGAGTTTCAAGATAAATACTCCCCTCCCCTACTGTGCATGACCAGCCACACCCTAATGATTCTCCTTCATCTGCCGGCCACAAGAGAGGTTGAGTATGATAGAGGGGAGGAGAGAGAGTTGTGTGAATTCACAGATGACCACTTGAAGAACCAGTTACTGATAAGCAATCTGTCCTTCTTCGTTGTGGTCTCTGTGAATTGTACATATGGGTGACTAGCAATCTGACTTACCAGTGGTGGGATGTCATGCCATAAGAGAAGAAAGCTACGGCCACCTGGAGGAAGCATCTTGTTGGGCTCAAGCATCTAATCGATATTTCACAAAGGCGAGCAGCTGTGACCATGTGGCAGCTCTAGGAATGTTGGGCAATGTCTAGCCTCTATGGAAACCATTAGAAGCTGCAGCACCTCTGGTAGAATGGCTCCTAATGCCTCCAGGTAAAGGTCTGTCAGCCATCTCATACACCAGTCTAATGGTCTTCACAACCTACTTTGCTAACCTCTGGGAGGACACAGAGTAGTTACCATTCCTAGAGTCTTTATAGAAAAGAGTCTGAATGATTGAATTTGTTCATTCAAGATAGATAAAAGTCTTCAAATATCCAAAGAGCTGTCATGAAAAAGGTGAAGCACATTTGTTTTCTGTTGCTCTACTAGAGTACGAAACTAAAATAAGAGTGGAAATTGTGAAGGAGCCTCTTGGGAATAAGAGTTATTTGAGAACAATACAGATTACTTAAAGAGGTGTTACTTTCTACTTCACTGGAGAAATCTAGGCAGAAGCTGGATAGCCATCTGTCAGACAACTATAGTTGCATCTGCCAACTTTGCATTGAGGTTTGCAGCTAGATAGCATTCCACGCCCCTCCATCTATTCTACTTCAACATTCTTACGTTCTTATAACTAAAGTGCACCTGCACCTCTTAAGACCGCTTGGCATTCATAGCAATTTGGAGGTGGGGACAATGTCTCATATCCATTAGGAACAGGCAACTATGGACCTCCATATGTTTTTGGTCTGCCAGTCCTATAATGTCTCTCCTTGTCTCTTTCACACACACACACACACACATACACACACACATATACACACACAAATGTATGTTAAAAACATTTTGAAAACTGGACAGAGTTCACTGTGTCTATTTCAAAGCCCAAAACCTGTAACAAAAGAACAATAATTAGAATTTCCTAGTAACTTACTGCCATTTGTAGACCACCTTTCTCCTGGTGAGGGGACCCAGGTGGCCCAGAATGTTAAAAAATGTTAAAAACATAATAAGTTACAGATGAAAAAGCAATTCAACAACTATTATTCAAAGGTGCGACACTGAACCATAAAACTATAGAACTAGAAAAGACCCGAAAGGTTGACTCCAGCCTTCTATTGAATATGTTTACATGGCCCACCATACAGCTAGTATACTGACTGTACTAAAAGGGAGAAAAATGCAGTTAAACAAAAGCACCTGTGATACATTCCAATACAGAATATGGAAAGATGGTTTGAACTGATTAGGTTAAGTTTTAACTATTTATGAAACATCAGCTAAGTGGCTGAGATAGCTGGCTGCAGAGTCAAAGGCTGGGAGTTTGATTCCCCGCTATGCCCCCTTGGTAGATGCTGAACTTGATCCATAGGGTATTTCCAGTTCTGCAGTTCTAAGATGATGATTATAATCATCTGAGGTCCTGTTGCTTCGGGTAGCAAGTTATATTAGAGTAGACCCATTGAATCAGTAGGAATCTGGGGAGTCAACTCTTTCATAAGTGCCATTGATTCAAATGGGCCTACCGTAGTGAGGAAAATATACTGTAATTACTATATAAACATGACTTTACACAGCAAAAACACAGATAACAGTGAACGGATTTTATCTGTTCATGTGTTTAAGCACTGCTACATCTTCATCCACTGGTAAAAAAAATTAACACTGCAACTATGATTTTTAAAAATTGACATTTATATTTGCTCTCAAGTCCTCTTTGGTAGAAATTTAAAAACTCAGAAGAAAGTCTACTATATATAGCAAAATGAATCATAAGTAGACAATAGTAATAAGGCAGAAATAATTGTGTATGATCCATTTTCATGCAATTTGATGGCAGATTAATTGATGTTTTTTTCCAGTCACACTGTCTCTTCCTGGATATGAGAGGATAACCCCTTCATGTATATTAACCCACATGACAAAACTGTGCAACAAATTAGATTCCTACACACACAGAGGAAGAGGTAGGAGAAAATATCTAGTCTGTAATATCCCTGTTGCTTTGCCTGAGTGTGGAGGGAGTATAAGGATTGCAATTGTGACTGGTAAAACAATTGGCTTTTTATTTATTTACTTATTTTGAATACACATGACTTAGTGACAAGCACTATGCAGTCAACAATGTGAAGGAATTATGGTTTATGGAGTGAACATCAAGTCTTAAAACATTGTAAAATTCGCCAGCTGGGCGCCTATGTTTTGAGAATATGGAATGCTTAGTACCACTGTCTTGAGATAAGGGAGGACTCAGACCATCCTGACCTTGAATATTCCTTGCAGCTGGCATGGAGCTAATTAAAACAACTTAGCTGATAGAGCTAGGGCCAATTAAAAGAAGCTACTAATTAGGTGATCTAATCAACTGTGGTCAGTGTGATGATGGGATTTAAGAGAGATAGTTAGGAATAACAAAGCCACCCTCCATCTTGATTCATTATCATGGACTGGTCATCATGACTTAGCATGTTCACACTATGCTTTATACTGGAGAAACCAAACAGCCACTAAACAGGACAATGGCCTAGCATAGGAGCAATGACTCAGGACCACAATCAGCAATGTTCCTTCATCCGAAGAACAAAGGACACCCCTTTGATGACCAAGATGTACTCATTTTGGACAGAGAAGACAAGATGGTTTGAGAAAGGGGTCAGGAAGGCCATACATGTGCATTTAGAAAATCCCTCACTCAACAGGGGTGGAGGCAGACACAATCTGTCTCCTACTTATCATGCTGCCCTTTCATCCCTCCCCCAAAAGATCAGCACCACACCCACCAGAAAGACCACTGTTAATGACCCATGACAATGGGTAGAGAAAGGACTGCAGAAGTGGGATTTTCACTCACTCTCTCTCTCTCTCTCTCTCTCTCTCTCTCTCTCACACACACACACACACACACACACACACACAGCCTTTGTCCATCTAATGAGCCTATTCAGACCATGGGGAAGTGAAACCAACTCCTACCAACCAACTCTCCTCAGACTGAAGAAGCTACTTGAATGAGTAGCGAAACGTTTCAACTTAATAAGGAAGAAGTCCAGTTCCCATGACTCAATTTCCAGATAACTTCATCTGGATGACCTGTGTGTGTTTTCACTGACCATCCAGGGGTAAGGACTCAGAGCGTGCTAAGGAAGGCACAGAAGATCATGCCCTGATCTTCTGGACCACAACCCATCCAGACAGAAAAGGTGGTGTGACTGAAATGATGAGAGGAAGCCCTTTGTGTAAACAAATTCTCACAAACAGTAAATAAGAAAATCAACCCTCCCAAAGCAAATGCCATGCAATCAACACCCTTCACTAACAGAAATAAAAATCAAACTAAAGACCACAAACCTAAATGATGGCACAGCAAGGAGATTCATATCCATTCAATCTCTTGGGGCCACTAGCCATGAATGAAAAGCTTGCTGATCAAGACAGTCATAAGATTATTACAGTGTGAAGAAATCTACAGGCTATGTAGACACTTCAGCTGGTGAAAAATGAGGTGACACACTGGTATTTGATGCAGGAATATTTCACCAGTGTTATAATGGCTTCTTTAGGAGCTGAGGCCTGGTAAAACTTGGAAAGTTACTATAACTCCCAGAAATCCTAAGCGGCCAGAGGATTCTGGGAACTGTGATATAAAAGCCCACAAACTTTTCCAAGTTCAGTAACATTAGAAACAAACTCCTGTTGTCATAAAAGGGTTTTTTCTTCTATTGCTAATCACCTTAGCCAAGGGATTTTCACTGATAATTTTCAGCACTCCTTATGCACTGCATTCTTGAGGACAAACCAAAAACACCTCCATTGGCAGTCAATTTCTTTTTTTAAACATCATGACTGCTACAGTAATTACATCATTAACGCAACATGGAGTTAATGAATAGTGATGGTGATTTATCTACTGATATGATGGCACAGGCTGTTTGGATCTCCTGCTTTACTCCTCGTATTTACCACTCTCACTTCCTGATGCTGTTTTTAAGCATTGTATGTATTATCAGAATTAAATTTTACTTGTTTTTACATTTTAAGAGACCAGTCTGAACTGTGCTTGAGGGAGGAATGGCAGATTGTTTCCCAATTCCAAAGCCCAAACAACTCATCCTGGTCAGGAGAGATGTGGATCAGTCTCACCACAATTGTAGCTAATTGTAGTCTTTTAAAAAAAATATTATTATTCAGTGTTTCGCTGTCATTAAATTCAATTGTTGGGGGAGGGATTCGATATTCCATCTTGGTAGGAAACAGAGAGCTGAAGCGCTTTGGGTACATGATATCCCCAGCCATTTCTCACCCATCCTGTCCCTCAGAATGGCTGTTTTGGGGCCCACGGTCAAGTGGAAACATTACTGGGAGTAGATTATAGCCACACAGATTGCCCGGAGGTCTCTGAGCAGGCACAGATACAGCTGAGCTCTTCTCCCCCAAAGAGACAGGCACTACCAACACATCCTTACTCCCTCTTGCACAGCTCTTCCAAGGAGGATTCATATATTTTCCTTTTCAATTCATTTTGTTGCCCAACAATTGAGATTTTTTAAAAAGTTTATGCAGCAAGTAAATAATAAAGGAAGCGACATCTCTGTTCAAAGGAATTATGCACTCTCATCCATAGAGACGGATCTTTGACTAAAGGTCGTAACAGATACAGTGGTGCCTCGCTTAGCGATTGCTTTGTTTAACGACGAAATCGCTTAGCGATGACTTTTTCGGAGCGATCTTGCGCTCTGTTTAATGATGGTTCTTATGGGTGATTTTCGCATAGCGATGTTTGGGACCATGCTTCGCATAGCGATGACAGTTTGGGTCCCCCTGTTTCGCTTAACAATGGTTTTGACAGCCTCGTGTTGGCTGTTTTTTAAATGTTTAAAAATGTTTAAAAATGTTTAGAATGCTTGAAATCATAAGTGCACTTAATAAACCTTTTGTTAAACTAATTTGACTTTGTTCCGACTCTTTTTAAATTTGTTGTAATTTTCCCCCCACTGAGATGCATTGAATAGGTTTCAATGCATTTCAGTTGGGGAACCGTGTTTCGTTTAGCGATGTTTCCTATGGCGATTTTCGCTTAAGGACGACAATCCGTTCCCATTGGAACGGATTATCTGGTTTTCAGTGCATTTCTATGGGAAACCGTGTTTCGCTTAGCGATGAAATCGCTTAACAGCGATTTTTTGGGAACCAATTATCATCGTTAAGCGAGGCACCACTGTATTAAGATGACTGGTTTGGTTGTTTCATCTGAATTCACAACCCTATTATGTGTCTTTTGTCAGAAACTACAGATCCTTTGCTCTTGATTGGAATTTTACTTGTAACATACTTAGTTTTTAATTGTTGATGGTTTAAATGTATTCATTTTTGCTACAGCCAGATTGGTTCTTTGCATAGTATAAAAGTTGACTATTTTTGTATTGTTCTCAAAAATTGCTCAGTTTCAAAAATTATAAAGTTTAAGGCTTTACTTATTATGTTTGCCACTCTGCATAGTCTTACTGGAGTAGAATACAAATAAGTTGTTAGCACTGTTGCTATTATATTCACGTAAAACTCCAGTTTGAAAGATTGAATCAGCTAACACTGTGCCATTCAATGCCTCCTGAATTTATTTTTATGAAAGATTACATATCTCATCCACAGGGAATCTACCAAGAAGTATTTCATCAGTATACTGGCTCCAAATGGTGGGAATTTATGCATCTATTGATGCCTATCCAAATACAGGTGCAACAAACAAAAAGAGTGAATTATACGCAAAGTCAACAATCTAGGGAAGGTATGCCATGTGGCATATGTACAAATAGCTGTCTCTAAATTAGGTTTCTGAATTGATTTTTCCCCACTGTAATTATGTTAAGACTACCAGTATTTATCATTTTGAAAAAT